GTTCCCAGGTAAAACTGCCCCTCCCCTCCTAAAACACTAATAGATCGGGTCTCTTTCATCCTGGATTCAATCACTTTTTCCTTCTAAGCTCATTAGTGAAGCTCCGCAGGCCGTGTGCCTTGTACGGCGAAGGCAGTCAGGGCCCCCTTCCTCTCCGCTGTCACCTGCCTCTACTTTCTGGCTCTCCTTGCCTTTTCTGAGCCAGGTCTGGGACCTTTCAGCTTTTATTTATTTTATTTTTATTTTAAAATAACCTGTAAGCTAATTAAAAATTTATTTTAGTTTTATAAGCTGTACAATATTCTAGCTTACCTAGCACAATTTACTTACTCATTTTGACACCGGACTGCTGGGTGACCAGACCCAACACCCGTCCTGGTTCTTGTCCAATGCTCACGAAGAATTAGAAACACTTACAAATGTAGAGGCTAGCAAGCAGCTTTTATTAAGGGAGGAAAAGCTTCCAGCACAGTGGAAAAGGACGTAGCCTGGTGGAATGGGCACGAATGGGTTGCTGATCAAGAGCTGGGACAAGGGGTTTTTATCCGGGCAAGATGGGACCTGTGCATGTATTTTCCTCATGGGGATTACGTGTCAGGGGATTTATGTCATTATCTTGTGTGGGAGTGGGCTCACATATTACAAGACTTTAGACTTTTAGACCTCAGTTAACCAACATTTAGCAGATCTTTGTCCGAGGTCTGTGGCCCATGAAGTTTCTAATTTTTATCAGTTTCCCACAAGTCTAAAACAAAGCTTTGTTGTTAGTATTTTTTCCTTCTGCTTCTAAAAAGTATACTCATTTAGACCCCCTTATCTTGCAGGTGCAAGCCTGGATGTCATGTTCTCATTTCTCAAATGATAGCTTGTGACCAGTTACTGCTCAAGGTCCTTCAGTTTCTTGCTCTCCAGAAAAGAGACTACATTCTTTGTTTGGAATAAAGCGATAATATAGAAAACATTAGTTTCAGCTGTCATTATCTCAAGCAGTCTGTAAGCAACTCTGGCTGTAAACAGTTATCTGTGTGAGCAAGCAGAAAGAGCTAATAACTGATTTCTAGTGAGAGCAGTGGATGGTTTTTATTAAAAGCTTGACCAGAGTGACTCCATCTTGTAAACTGACTCCATCTCACAGGTCTATATCTTAACTATGAGTGTGTGTTATCTATTTCCTACTTCAATTTCTTTTTGCAAGTTATTGTCTGGACCTGTGCCTAGCTATTTTCCTCCCTCCTTTGGAAGCAGCCCCTGAGCAGGACTGACCTCCCAAAACTGCCCCAACCTCTCTGTATATCTCACAGGTGGCTATGCTTAAACACCTAACCTATAATTTGTGTCCTAGATAATTGATCATTGATATAACCATTTGGTGGAAAAATGTGTGGTTCAAGTTTCCCCATCACAGCAAAGAACTAAAGGACAAAGAAGCAAGGCTGAGCAAGGTTTTATTAAGAAAGATATGGGGACCAGCAGATGGCATAATGGTTACGTTGCTGGACTCCCATGTAGTCGACGGTGGTTTGAGTCCCACACCCAGTGATGAAAACTCATGTCGGGCGTGTGTATGTGTGCATGCCCAAATCCTGAGAGGAGAATGGAGGAGAAAGGATTACAACATGGGATGATTTCCTACTTTCTATTTTTTTGTCTCTCTGGTAAGCACATACACCCTATAGCAAAAATATCTCTCTAAAAAAAGAAAGATATATGTTCCAGATATATGTTCAGATAGAAAGGGCCTGATCCAAGGGAGGCAAGCAGATTCACTCTCCTTCCTGGGGTCCATTTTTACATAGTTTTAGTCTGCGCATTTGAAATATGAGACTTTAGACCTTTTCTAGTCTGCTAATTTTTTTTTTTTTTTTTTTTTTTTTTTTTTTTTTTTAGTGATATTTTTGCAATAGGATGTGTGCCCTTCCTAGAGGGACAGAGACAGAAAGCAAGAAATCACCCCCCCCCCCAGGGGCTATGGCCACACCACAATCCCTTATCCTTCATTCTCCTCTTGGGATTTTGGGCATGCATGCACACACACTTGGCATGAGTTTTGAGCCACTGGGTCCAGGACTCGAGAACTGTTGTTGACTGTGTGGGAGTCCAGCAATGTAACCATTACGCCATCTGCTGGTCCCTTCTAGTCTGTTAATTTTTATCTCATTCCTCTTTCTTGTTACTTGAAGGTTTCATGATATAGGTGGTTATTTTTGTTGAGAAGGTTCCCACAGTGTAGGCCAGTTTGTGCTCTTCGCTGTTGGCTAGTTCCTTGAGCTAAATCTACCTACCCATGCTTAACATATCTAACATGAACTGATGTAATCATTCAGTGATATTGCCATAACTGTCTAAGGGTCCAAGGAGACTGCAAGTCTGACTGGCCAGTGATAATTAACATGCTTGCTTTGATTTATGTGCTATAAAACTTCTTGTACTATATTGAAATGAGGACTCTTCACTCACAGGCTGCTGTTGGTGACTCCCATAAATTGAATAAACCAGTGTCTACCTGCTGGACCTCAAGGTGACTTCTTTGGAATAGGCAAACATTCAAGCCCTTTCACATTTAGGATAATGATGTTATGCTTTAAAAAGAAAATAATTGGGCTAGCCAGTGGCACAGTTGTTGAGAACTGAGTCCTATTATACAAGACTGTGTGCTTTGAATCCTGACTGGCAGCTTGTAAAACATGCTTGGTGCTTGTGTGTGAGTGCCCCAAATCCCAAAACAAGGGAGAAATGGAGAAGGGATTATAGTGTAACCACTCCGCATGGGTGAAGGTCTCTCTGTCTCTCTCTAGAGAGCACATGCACCCTCTGGAAAATGTTAAAGAGAATTTTTTTTATTACTAGATGGTGCATACATTTGCATAGGGCTGGGAGGAAGTGAGTGTACTACCCAGAATGGATATATTAACACTGAAATCTCTTCTCCTTCATTTCTGCATCCTGTGGGGATTAGGAGCAAGCTCCCACGTGTGCTCTGTGGCATTTTTTCTTTAAATAATTATTTATTTAATTTTATTAATTCATTTATTTTAATTAGACCAGAGAGAGATACACACAGAGAGAGAGGGAAAGTGAGAAAGCAAGCCATCAGGTCCTGTATTCGAACCGTAGTAGGCCATGTGGGAGTGTCCAGCGCCTTAACCACCACGCCACCTGCTGGTTCCCACCTGTGGCAGTTTTTAAACTGTTGTGCTGCCAGGTTGGCCCTGTTTACTTATCTATTTCTTTATTGTTGAACATTTAGATGTTTTCAAATGTTGCTTTAAATAAAGTTGCAGTGAACATTCTCTTATTTAAATTTTTTTTTCTTCCTTCTGTTTACAAGAGAGAAAAAGAAAGAATGTCAGAGACAAGCATTCCCAATAGAGGCCTTATGTCATGCTCCACCCCCAGCCTCAGCTGGTCTGAGGTCATGGGTAACTACAACACTCAGAGTGGTCAGGGAAGTCTCTGGATAGAAATGAAAAACTTCCCTATGTGCATAAACCTCCAACGTCTTTGCACTTGTCTGGGCCATTGGCCAGTATGTAGCAATGATTCTTATATTTACATCTTCTTGCTTATCTCTGATTATCTTCTTAAAGATTGAGTTCTAAAAGTAGAACTACTTTTTAATTGAGTCTAATATTATAAGACATATTAATTAAAAATTATAGGTGGCTGTACTGCTGGGAGCCCTAAATATGAGAGGGCTTGTGTGTAATATTTACCTATTCCAAAGAAGTCACCCAGAGGCCCAACTGAGAGATACATGAGTTCATTCAGCTTACAGGATGCACTGATGGTGACAGGTTGGGAAAAGATCCATATTACAGTGCAATACAGTTATCAGTTAAATAAATTGGGTTGTTGGAAAAGTGATGACACATTTTTGCATAGAAAAAACACATCATGACTTTTCCAATGACCCCATAGTTAGGTCAAAGCAATCATGTCAATCATTGTGAGGGTCACAAAGACATTCTGTGTCCCTGTACCTGCATCTGGTTTTTGTCTATAATGCTTGGAGATTACATTGAATACAGTAAAGAGTACTTATCTACCAAAGGAATCAATGAAGTATTTTCTTTAAGCATGGCTGCCTGGGTCGTGTGATAATTATTGGATTGTTGGAAAAGTCATGATGCATTTTTGCATAGAAAAATATTTTATGACTTGTCTGACAACTCACTACATGAGGGAGTACACATTCCTTTGGAAATGGCCCTGGTTATGGGGACAGGGGAGAATCATATTCCTGTGGGGTCATCCCTGGCCAAGAAGTTCCTCCAGGAAGGGAGAATGTGGAGGAAAAAAATGTGAATGTATACCGCATACCCCACAGAGGCTGTTGGTTTGGACTGAGTTCCTACGCTAAGCCCAACAGACTAAACCAAAATGAATTGCTCAGGATGGAGTTCCATACCGCCAACCCAAAACCAAGTTGTTTCTGTGATCTTCAAGGAAAACAGAAGGTAAAGAGAGATGATAGCCAAATCCCTATGTGCGAGACCAGTTTGGCGATTGGGTTTTTCTGAGTGGGGGTG